AGAATGGTGCAGTGGCGCGATCTTGGCTCACTGTTGCAACCTCCGCCTCCTGGGTTCAAGCAATTCTCTGCCTGACAAATTTTTGTATTTTTAGTAGAGACGGGGTTTCACCATCTTGGCCAGGCTGGTCTTGAACTCCTGACCTCGTGATTCACCCACCTCAGCCTCCCAAAGTGCTGGGATTACAGGTGTGAGCCACCGCACCGGGCCCCCTCTAGCTCTTCTTTAAAGTGTAAGCTAGCTTGCACTTAAAGAAAAAAGTTCATTGGTTAGGTGCCGTTGGGCACCCCTAGAGGCTAAGGAGGTGAGGCACCCCACAGATGGCCATTTCCAGGATGAGTCTGTGAGGATGGCAGTCTGGACTCTGGGAATGATGGGGGCAAACCTCAGCTCCGGCAGTGGTTCTCCCCAGTTTTGCCCCCCTGAGATCACCAAAGTAGGATGATGGATGAAGCTGGAAACCTGGAAGGGTATGAGGTAGGGGGTGGGTAGATGTCTGAGTGAGTGAGAGTTGGTGCTGAAGTTGCTTTGGAGTTGGGTGTGGGTATAGGAGTGGGATTGCAGTGGAGGCTGGAATTAGGAAGAGGGTGATGATAGAAAATTGAGTTGAAATTAGGGTCAGTCCAGGAGATTTGAAACAGAATTGGAGTTGGAGCTATAACTGAGCCTAGACAGAAATGGAGTTGGGGTCAGGATCAGGAAGGAGGTCAGAGTTAGGGCGAGGCCGGGCTCCCACCTGTTCATTGCCCACCAAGTAGACCTTGATGTCAGGTAGAGAGAGGCCTCGTTTCTCACAGATCCCTGCCAGCATGTCTCGGATGGTGAGGCCGGGTCTGGCCAGGGCTAAGGAGGCTGTGCCATCGGGCAGGTACACACAGCAGTACTTCCCTGGCCGGCTTTCACTCTCACCATCAGTGCTTCCAAGGCTCTTCCGGTGGCTCTGATTCAGGGCAGGAACAGGGGAGGTTATGAGCACACATGCAAGGGCATGCAGACAGGTACACAGAGGCAGGTAAGCTTGCTGGGGCTCAAGCATGCACATGCACTCCCAAGGCAGGCAAAGATACATCCTCCTGCAGGAACACATGTATGCACACCTAGGCATATGGACACCTAGAGACAGGTCCACCTGCTGATTCCCACATACAAGCTGTGTACACACCCCTGGGCACTGCACATGTGTACACATCTGCTGACTGAGGATGTGTACCTATGACATACATGAGAACCCATATAGTGAGGACAGGAGAAAAGAGGCTAAAGGTTGGCCATGCAGAGCAAGCTGGGAGACACAGTAAGGACAGCAACTTGGAACGAGGGCCACCACGTAAACGGGCCTGAGTAGTGGCCCTAGCCCATAGTGCATCTTGTCTTCCCTAATAGTCGGCTCACCTCAGATTTGCTGCTGACGAAGGCTAGGAAGCCAAGGTCCAGGCTGGCGGAGGAGTTGAGGGAGCCCTGAGACTCTCGGCGCAAGGCAGCATTTGCCGCCCCGCCCAGCTCTAGGGAAGATGGAGCGATGAACTCGAACAGCCCCCACTGCCCTCACTCATCCTCTTGTGGAAGCCTCTCCCCCACTGGTGGGCCTTGTTTGGAGCCATCCTGCAGGGGCCCAGGTGTAAATCCCTGAGAGCGTCACCACCGTTGGAGATTTCTAAACGTCTGTCGTCTAGCCCAGGACCCGAACCACCCAGGGGAGTGTGGTGGTCACTGGGACCTGTGTTCCGATTTTCATAGACTTACAAACTGAGGGCCACGAAGGAGGAAGGGGGCACTCCCCAAACTTGGCCGAACTCCCGCCTTCCCCCCATCTCTATTGCTCGCTCCTGCCCTCACCCCTGCGGAAGGACTTGCGGAGTGGGCGGCCCCCAGGACCCTCAACAGGCGGCAGCTGCCCCAACTCTTCCACGCCCAGCGGCAGCGACTTCCCGGGCTTCAGCTTCGGCTTCTGTAGGTACAAGGAAGGTGCTGGCACTGGGCTGGGCTCCAGCCCGCATGCAGACAGTGCGCACACACCCGCAGATCTGCACCCGGGGACGTCCCCTCTTGCACGCGGTCTGCAGGGCCCCCTGCCCCGGCCGGTCCCTCGTCCGCACCTTCCTCGTGGCTTCCGGGCTGCCGAGGCGCAGGGAGCCAGGTTCCCGCAGCGGGCGCCCCTCGGCCTCGGCTAGCAGGCACTCACGGTACAGCGGGGACTTGACGAAGCGCGCATAGCTGTCGAATTTCATCAAGTTGAAGATCTGCGGGGCGAGCGCGGGGCAGGTGAGCCGGGGCTGGGGCGGAGGGGCTGGGCTGCTGGGATCCAGGCCGGGTCCTCGGGACTGGCCCCGCCCTCAACCTAGAGCGGGATTCCCAAACCCCGCCCCCACCTCAGTTCCTCTATCCGCCCACCCCAGGGTCCAGGCCCCGCCCCTAGCTCAGCTAGGCTCCGCCTCTAGCTGGCCTTCACCGTTGCGTCTGATACCGCCCTCTGAGTCCGGCCAGTCCTGCCCGGGCTTTGGCTCTGTCTCCGCCTCCAAATTTGCCCCCTCCCCTTTGTAGTTTAGGCTCCGCCCAAGGGTCCTATCCCACCCACCCCGCCCCTTTTGTGTCCCTTTCAAGGCCAATCCACCCGGCACCGCTCACTTGAAGCTGCTGTGCCCGAAACATATCCGGCCGGGGGTCGGCCAGCACCTCCTCGCCAAGCCAGGCCTGCCGGTCGATGTTCACTGGGCTCAGCGCCTGGCTGGACAGGAACTCCTGGTAGATGTTGCGGGCCTCCTGAGCTAGCTGAAGGAGGAGGGACAGGAGGAGTTGTTCACGGAGCATGGCCCAGGCCATGTGTTCCCCTCTCCCAAGCCCTCGGCGCCAGCTCCCCCTTTCCCCACCTGCTGGGTATCGCTGGCTGGAATCTGTTGGAAGCGCTCGCAGGCCTTCCAGAAAGTCACGTTTTCGGCACTGAACTCCTTCTTTAGGAACTCCTGGGAGAGGAAGGAAGGGGAGGCAGGCAGAAACTCGAGACACAGAGACCAAACTGGGGGGTGTGATTAAAGAGATGGGGACAGAGACAGGGCCAAGAGACCAAGCCAGACAGATAGGACCAGACAGACAGATGGAGCCAGATCTGGAGGCTGGGAGAGAAAATGAGAGGCAGAGACAAGGACAGGGAGAGGGAAGAAAAGTTCCCAGCTGGGAGAAGAGGAAGAGGGTGCTGCAGGAAGGCTAGATGAGGGAGCTGACAGAGGACCCCACTCTGGCCAGCCTGAAGCTCCGCCCACACCCTGCCCTCTCCCATGTGCCTCCTTCCCTTTCCCCACCCCAGGCTTACAGTGAAGTAAGCCAGGCCCAGCGGGTCCTGCAGCAGCCGCTCGAAGGACAGGGCCCAGCTGGCCACAGGCTGCTCCTCAGTGGGGAAGGGGCTGCTGGGGCCACTGGGGAGGCTGTGGATGCTGAGGGAGCTGCCGCGGCCCTCGCCCTGGCCCTGGGGCCCCGTCGTGCTGCTCAGCTCTGCAGGGGGATGGACAAGTAGGGTGAGCCTTGCTGCCTTCCCCAGCCCCTTGCCCAACCAACCCTCCCCCAGGCATCCACTCTGCAGACATGTTCCCTGGAAAGATAGCAGGTGGCAGGGGCGTCCCCACCCATCTCCACCTTCCTCCTCCCTCCCACTCAGCCAGGCCTCCTCCACACATTCTGTCACTTACCTCCATCTGACACAGCCAGAACCTATAAAAGACCCAACAGAGAAAGTCAGACAAGCCCAGTGAGGATTCCCAGGGGACAGTTCTGGGCCCAAATGCCAGGAGCTAGAACTGTGTTCTCCTCCACCTGGCATCTCCAGCCAGGTTCTGCTTGGTCAGTTTTGCCCAGGCTGCCCCCAGCTCCCTTTCTATCCTGGGCCAACCACTATGTCCTGGGACTTATGCCAGGTACCTTCCAGTTGCCCCTGGTTCCCTCCTCCCCTAGCCCCTGCTGGGTGAGCCGGGTGTGCATAGAATGGTGGGTAGGAACAGACTTTAGTCTCTGCCATTTACTAGCTGTGTAACTTTGAGCAAGTTAGTTAACTTGTTTGCCTCCATCTATAATCTGTAAATAGGGGAGAATGCCTATTTACAGATGGAGGCAAACAAGGAGCTGATGTGAAGATCAAGTCAGTTTAATATATTCCCACAATCGATCAGGCGTAGTGGCTCACACCTGTAATCACAGCACTTTGGGAGGCCAAGGCAGATGGATCACCTGAGGTCAGGAGTTTGAGACCAGCCTGGCCAACATGGTGAAACCCAGTCTCTACTGAAAATACAAAAAAATTAGCAGGGCATGGTGGCAGGCGCCTGTAATCCCAGCTACTGGGGAGGCTGAGGCAGGAGAATCGGTTGAACCCAGGAGGCAGAGGTTGCAGTGAGCCAAGATCATGCCATTGTCCTGCAGCCTGGGCAACAAGAGCAAAACTCTGTCTCAAAAAAATAAAATAAAAATGTATGCACAGCATCTAGAACGGGGGCAGCATGTGATATGGGCTGTATCAACATGTGCTGTCTTTGAGGAAGGAGAGGTGTCTCTGCAGCCAGTGATCTCCTGTTGCAAGTGTTTTCTATTGGGCCCAGGGTCTCCTACAGGTCCCATCACACCCTGGGAGGGCATAGGATTCTGTTCTATAGTATAGAGCAGTGGTTCTCAAACTTCAGTGCAGAATGGGAGGACCCCACCTCCGGAGATTCAGGTTCAGTAGGTCCAAGATGGGGCCTGAGGCTGTCCCTTTCTACCAAGCTCCCAGACAATGCTGATGCTGGTGGTTCAGGGACTACTCTGTGAGTAGCATTGCTGCAGTAAGCTAACTCCATCCTTGCCCCCAATGCACAACTCTGGTTTCTCTGGGAATCCCAATCATTAGTGAAACAGAAAAACTTTCCTCTCAAGATGACTCTTGCGGTGGTTTTTCTTATTTCTCTTTTTGCCTTCCTAGCAGCTCCTCCAGCTTCCCCACTATCTCCCACTCATGCAATGTGGCGTCAACCCCTCCCTGGCTCTGTCCTGGGCACTTTGTCCCATCCACAGATCTGCACCTCCAGACACACATAACCAACTTCCTGGTAACATCTTCCCCCAAATATCCCACAAGCCCTCACATTCCCAAATGGAAGTCGCAAATGGAAGCTCCCTTTGCCTCCACCAAAATAGAGTGCCAAAACCAGCTTCCCTGCCCCAATCTTTCTTCCCATCACCTGGGCTTCCAACATCAGGGCTTGAGTCATCTCAATTCCTACTTCCCCCTCACCTCCTACATTTTCACCATGCCCTGTCACAGGAGTTCCTACCACCAGCCCCTTCTTTCTATCCCAACTGGAAACAGGCCTGCAAACATCTCCACCCCTGGAAAGCCCCGCATCCCCACCCTCCTGAATGGAATCTCCCTCGCTGTTCCCTACTCCCACCCTGAGAGTATTCAGGTCACAGGGCAGCCATCTGTGTACCAGATCTGGTCGGCAGATATGTGGGATAGTACTATCATCTTGGCCTTCACAGTTTTGTGTGTGTGTGTTTTTTTAACTTAAAAATGTTTTCCATATCTAAAAAGCAAGATAATTTAAATTCCACTTGCTCCTTAAGACTGTGACGCTCCAGCTTCTTCCCAGCAGGACAAACCTTGTTTGGCACTGAGCAGCCACCACCTTCCCCCAAAGGGCTTAAACTCTTCTCAGAGGCCTCTGGAACCCTTTTAATGCATTTATGTTACTTGTGGAGGCAATGGGAGGCAGGCTCAAATTTGGGAGGTCGAACTTGTGCTGTGTGATTTTAGACAAGGTACTTAACCTCTCTGGGCCTCGGTTTTTTTTTCTCTCTAAAAATGGAGCAAATAATGCATGGTCCTGACTCGAAGGATTGCTGCGATTAAATGAGTTAAATACCTATAAAGAACTGAGAACACTGTCTGGCGTGTAGTAAATGTTCAAGGAACGTTACCATTAATGTTCTTGTGTCAGTATTGGTTCCTGACCAATACTGGAACATTCGAATTTGTCACTTCCGCTATAGAAAGAAAGAGCACAGGTGTTGGGGGTCTCTCAGACCCGGATTCAAAACTCAGCCTGACTTTTTCTAGTTTTACAACTTCGGGCTCCTCCCTGAGCTTCGCTTCCCATCTGGAGCCGGGGGATAAGAAGTTGCTGCGGAGGGCAGCGAGTTCTTGCAGCGTGCGCTGGGCGGGGCGTCGGACCCAGCACCCCCCACCCCCGTCTCAGGCCCCGCCCCGGCCCTGCCCCCGCCCCGCTCTCCCCGCTCTGCCCTCCCGGAAGAGTCAAATCCTCCAACAAAAGTCGGGGCTTCCCACGGCTACAGGAGAAAGTCCCCACTCCGAGGGCGGCAGAGGGCTGCGAGGAGGGACGGGGCGAAGCTTTCTCCGCGCGCCCTCAAGGTTTCTCTGCAGGCTGCACCTATCTGCCCGCGCCCGGGCTCCTCCTCCCCCTGCTGCCCGGCCAACGTGTTCCCAGCCTCAGAGACTCAGTCACCGCCCTCCCCCAGATCCCCGAGAATCGCCCGGACTCGTCCCCTCCGCTGGGCTGCCTGGCCGTCCTCGCGCACATCTGGAGCCTGTGTCCTGCCCTCTAACCCGAGTCTGGGGTGATAGGCGCTGGAGCTGGCTCCAGCCCGCGCTCCAACTTTGGCTCTCACAGGTTTATTTTCCATTCTGCTTAACGAAATGTAGTTAAGTGGGGCTGGTTCCCAGGTACCCCCCCCCAGGCCCCACTCCTCCCCACGGAGCCACCCCGGGCCCTTTCCCTGCCCCCAGAGTCACGTTGCGGTTGCCAGGTTACGGCTAAAACTCTACCTGGGCCTGACTAATGAACCCCTTCAGCCTCACCCATTTCCCTCCCCCTCACCTGCACCCTACACTTCACCGAACGTTTCTATTTTCCCCACACCCCTACACACCCCTGCTTCCGGCTTTGCCGTTGCCTCTGCCTGGAATCTGCTCCTGCTGTCCTTATGGAATTGCTCCCTGATCTCTGCCCATTGACATTAGTCATCTCTAAACACCAGGCTCCTAGAATGCCCCTTCCCACCACGTGCTTACCAGCCATGTCCCAGCCTCTCTCCCCTGCCCCTCTGGTGGCCCCTGGAGCGCTGGCCTGGTTGGTGGGAGGGGTTGGATCTGAACTCCCTCCTCAAGAAGCACCCTCCTTGCCCTAGTGCACCCAAGTAGCCATCAAGGCGCTGGCCTTGGCACCCCTTCACTATAGACTCTCAGCCCTTGAATGCCACCTGTAGCTCTCCATCTCTAGCCTCTCTTGCCCTGACAGTTGTTGATAGCATAACTGGAGCTGAAATTGAGTAGGGGCAGAAATCTGAAGATGGGTGGGAGTGTGGGTGGAGTCCAATTCCAGCTCTGCTATTTGGGAACAAGTAACTTCTCTGAGCCTCAGTTTCCCTCAGGCTGGCATGGGGCTCAGCACTCCCAATTTCTTGAGGCCGCTATTAAGGTTGAATGAAGCCCCGTGAGTGAAAGCACTGGGCTTGCCACAATCAGAGCAGCACCCTACAGCAGAGTGAGGCGCAGAGGTGCAGTGCCCTGCAGTGCCTGGGGAAGTTGTACTGAGCAGGGATGGCCTCCCCCATTTCAGCTTGCTTGAGAAGTGGTAAGTGAATGGGAAAAAAGGGGAAGAAAGGGCAAGGAAGGGTGTGGTAGCCAGTGACACAGCGACCCATGCTTGGACCTGGGCCAGCCATATTTTTTTCTTAGGAATTTGGTCCTGGAGGAGCTGCTGGCACCTGAAAATACTAAGGTGAGAGGAAGGCCCCAATTTCCTGAGCTTTGGCTGTGTGGCAGGCATCCTCCGGCAGCACACACCACGTCCTCACTCCATCTTTACATCTTTATCTTGTGTGGCAAGTATTATTACCCCTGTTTCACAGATGAGGCAACGGAGGCCCAAAGAAGTCATGCAGCTGAGATGTGGCAGAACTGAAATTAGAACTCAAGTTTGCCTGATTGTGGAGCCTGAGGCCTCCCCACCTTCCACCCAAGCTGCTTCCCTTTGGGGACCAGGGAAACTTGGAGGCCCAGTGCCTCAGCCCTTAGGGCATAGGTGGGCAAGTCCAATCTGGCATGACCGGCCCAGGGGCTCCTCTTGAACTGTGGCCACTAGAGGGATCAGACCTTGAAGGGGGGCCAATTTACTGAGTATCTTCTATGCTGAGCACCCTCTACCAGCCTCTGATTTCATCCTAGCTTGAGGAAACTGGAGCTGCAAGACCCTGTCTGGGGATGCCCACACGGAACCTGGGTGTCTGGTCCCTTCAACTTGAACCAGCCTGTGGAGATGACCCCTGGCTTTGCCCCTGAATAAGGCCACCCTGAACTGGACGCCAGGGACAAAGAGAGAGGTGCATGGGCTTTGCCTTGCAGGTCTTCCTGCCAGGAGGGGAAGACTAACGAGGCCCACCGACAGGACAGGCTGAGCTAACTTTCTTCTCCAGGCTTAACTCTCAGCCTCCCCTAGGCCCCATACCTGTGTTTGCCCACAGCCAGGCCTGTGCCGGGCGCTCCCCCCTCCACCTTGTAGACCCTCTAGGGACAATCTCCTACAGCATGGTGCATGAAGTTAGTGGAGATGTTAGTTCCCTCAAGCTGTTTCTACTCTTGACTTGCAGCTCTTGCTTAACACTTCCCCTTCCCCTTCCCCTTCCCCTTCCCCTTCCCCTTCCCCATTCCCTTCCCTTCCCCTTCCCTTCCTTTCTTTTTTGAGACGGAGTCTTGGCTGGAGTGCAGAGGCATGATCTCGGCTCATAGCAACCTCTGCCTCCCAGGTTCACTGATTCTCCTGCCTCAGCCTGCTGAGTAGCTGGGACTACAGGTGCACCACCATACACAACTAATTTTTTGTATTTTTAGCAGAGATGGTGTTTCATCATGTTGGCCAGGATGGTCTTGATTTCTTGACCTCGTGATCCAGCCACCTTGGCCTCCCAAGGTGTTGGGATTACAGGTGTGAGCATTGGCTCTTGACCCACCTGCCTGCCTGCTTGCCTTCCTTCCTTCCTTCCTTCCTTCCTTCCTTCCTTCCTTCCTTCCTTCCTTCCCTCCTTCCCTCCCTCCCTCTCTCTTTGTCTTTCTTTCCTTTTTTTTTTCTTTCAGCAGGATCTTGCTCTTTCACTCAGACTGGAGTTTAGTGGTGTGATCACAGCTCACTACAGCTTTGACCTCCTGGGCTCAAACGATCCTCCCACCTCAGTTTCTCTAGTAGCTAAGACTACAGGTGTACACCACCATGCCCAGCTAATGAAAAAGGAGATGGGTTTTCACTGTGTTGCCCAGACTAGTCTCAAACTCCTGGGCTCAAGTGATCCTCCTGCATTGGCCTTCCAAAGTGCTGGGATTCCAGGCTTGGGCCACCACCGGGTATTTTCACCTGTGTCTTTTGTGCCTTGCCAGACTAGGGGGCAGGGGCTAGAGCTGATGGCCCTGGGTCGGGAGTGCCTAGGATAGGGTGGCAGCACCAAGCTGGCAGTAAGAAGGGGTTGTTGAATGAATGAGTGAATAAGTACATGAACAAATAAAGTGGCAAAGAGGCTGTGTGAAGACATTCCTAGGTGGGGGGCTGGGAGATGTCTCCAAGTGACAGGTTTCCTTGCAACTGCCTGACAAGCTGAGTGGCAGAGAGGCGAGGCTGACAACTGAAGCTGCCACAGCAGGGAATGGTGATGGGGGTGGAGGGAGAGAGAAAGGGGAGGACCAGGGCCAGGCAGTTCTGGGGGTTCAGATGCTGACCGCTCTACTCTCCGGCTACCCTCAGCACAGCATTTACTGCTCTGAGCCTCCTTCTGGAGGTAACTCATGGAGGCACCAGACACACCTGTCCCCCAGGCACCTCTTCATCCACATCCCTTCATCAGACATCAGTGCCTGTCTAGCTCTTCCTGCCCCAGCTATGCAGAGCCTCGGGAAGCAGGCAGTGGCCAGCAGGCAGCCAATCTGTGACCCTGGGGATTCTAAGAGGTGGCACAGAGAGGTCAGAACAGGCCCAGGAAGGGTGAAGATAAACCTGTGTGTGACAGTTTTGAGAGGAGCCAGGGCGTCTGTGGGCTTGATGGAACTGGGGGCAGGCCTTGGGGGCACCCTCCCTGCTCTGGGTGACTTTTGGGTAGAGAAGTCACAGGCTGACACAGAAGAGGCAGGGGCTGGGTCTGTCTCTGGGCCCTCTCTGTTGCCCTGCAGTTCTGGGCACTGTCCCAGAAGCATCAATCCACCCTTCCTGGGGTGGGCCTGGTGTTAGCCTCCTTGGCTTCCTGGCCCAGACACCTAGGGAAGGACAAGCCAAGTGTCATGCCTGTGGTATGGGAATGCAAGGGAGGTGGATTTTCTTTTTTTTTTTTTTTTTGAGGCGGAGTTTCGCTCTTGTTGCCCAGGCTGGAGTGCAATGGCATGATCTCGGCTCACCGCAACCTCCGCCTCCTGGGTTCAGGCAATTCTCCTGCCTCAGCCTCCTGAGTAGCTGGGATTACAGGCACGCGCCACCATGCCCAGCTAATTTTTTTGTAGTTTTAGTAGAGACGGGGTTTCACCATGTTGACCAGGATGGTCTCGATCTCTTGACCTTGTGATCCACCCGCCTCGGCCTCCCAAAGTGCTGGGATTACAGGCTTGAGCCACCGCGCCCGGCCGGGAGGTGGATTTTCTTTTTGCACTTTCCTGGTGGGGTCAGTGCTGGAGAGTGAGCTGGCTTTGAAGAACGGCCTCTCTCCCAGCTGGCCAGTCAGGGGCTGGGCAGGAAAGAGATGCTGGAAGAAGAGGTAGAGGTCCGTCTTGGGAACTAAGGGGCAGGAGTGGTGATGGGGGCTGTTCAGCTTCTTGGTGAGGCAGGAGACCTTTAAAGAGGGGCTGAAAATGTAGGGGGCATCAGGCTGACAACTACACAGCACCCACAATGGGTCAAAGGTCTCATATGCATTATTTCAGTCAGTCATCTTAGCCTCGAAATTCATTCCAATCTCTTCATTTTACTGATGAGAAAACTGAGAGTTGGCGAGGACCCCTCCGTCCAGTAAGAGAGAACAGAACCAGGACTAGAACCCAGGTCTCTCTGGAGGCACTGGCTTTGGCTCATGATACTAGGCTGGGGCCCGGTGGTGGGCCAGAGAACTGGCCTTCCTGAGGTTGTTAAGAGGGACTTTTGCAAGTGAGGGGGGACCCTAGGGAGAGAAGGGAAGCCCAGCACAGCTTGCCCCATCTGATGAATGAATGAGAAGAGCCAGACCCTCTGAGGGCAGCTCTGATCTGGAGCTAAGCAGCTAGGAAGAGGGTTAAGGGGTGGGGCAGCTGCAGCCAGGGGCATCCTAGTGCTCAGCCCTTCTTGGAAGCTCAGGAATAGAACTTGGTTTGACCCTGCTGCCCCATCCCTGGGCTACCCAAACAATGCTAGTTCTGGCAGAAAGCCTCCAGAGCAGCTCTGGCTGGAGGGCACTGACCGAGGAAGAGCTGTCACTAACCTGACCTTGGGCACCTGGGGCAGGGGGTGAGAGGCGAGGACTCAGGCTGAGTGGGATGTAGGGGCTTGAGCCACTGTAGGAGTAGGCAGGAGGCAAGGAGCACATCGGGTGTCCCTGCGACCCTGGGATGCAGCCCCAGATGCAGCAGGTGAAGGAGCAGTCGGGCTGGACCAGAAGCCTGTGCCCACTCTACTCTGGCCTCATCACCAGGGTTGTACCATGCTCCCAGTTGGGCCATCTGGAAGGGTGCTGGGGTGAGTGCACCAGGTCCCACCACCTGCTGCTGTCTGTACCCAACTTCTCCCACCTGCTGGCAGCCCATGGGCTCTTGCCTGGCCCTGCTGGGTGTGCCTCCTGGGCTCCACCCTGGGTGTGCCCACCCCCTCCTCGTGGCCCTGGCCCGGAGCCCACACTCACCATGCGCCCGTTGGGGACGCCCAGGTGCTTGGGCTTCCCTGGCATGCTGCTGCTGATCACGGGTCCCTGCCGCAGGGGCTGCCCACCATGGGGACTGTGGGCAGCGCCGGCCAGAGCTTGCACGGTGGTGGGCAGGCAGCGGAGAGAGCCCGGCTCAGCTCCTGCGGGCCCTTACATCCTGAAACACCAGCTCACTACCTCTTTTCTCTGCCACAGGAAGTGTCTCTATAGAAACCAAACCACAGAAAGAAGCAAGGTCTAAGAGAGCGAACGCCTCTTCCTACACGCGCGCGCACACACACACACACACACGTTCACACACGCACACATGCCACCAACACACTCTTGGCATCATCCCGCACAGGCACCAACACAAGGCGGAGGCCTCTGTGTGCCCAGCAAGGAGCCCAGCCTGGTCTGGCCCTGCCCAGGGAGCTCTAAGGTCATGCCTGGGCTCACAGAAGCATAAGTAAACATACCTAGGCACCATAGTCCACCCTGGGGCATTCCTGTGGACATGCACACACGTGCACTGGGACCTGTGTATCCACACATGTACTTTTACTTGGCACACACTTCTCTTATACCTACTGTGTGCCAGACAAACATGTGCTCAGTACCCTTCTCCCCTGCAATTGTCCCCTAGCCCCAGACACCTACAGGCTGTCCTTC